GGCGGCGTAGAAGGCTGCGTATCAAATAGTGCATGATGGTGGGCTATTGGCGCCTGTGCTTGGTATAGTGTCTCGCGGTTCGGTACGGTTGGCGAAGTACGTTGGTTCTGTGCAGCCTGTTGTTGCTGTTGAGCATGCAACGCCTGGTTGCGTTGCGCCACTTGCATCTGCCTAGCGATGTCACCCAGTCCTGGTCCAACAATGTTGCGATCGCCTATCACAGTTGCTCCACAGTTGACTGTGATGTTGATTCTGGTATGTGGTCTTGATAGTTGGGCAGAAGTAAGGCTCGCCAATGAGGGTAAGTTAAGTCCTTGTTGTATCTGAGGTTGAGGTCCGGATTGTGTTTGTGTTTGTGTTTGTGATTGTGTTGGACTTATAGGCTCAATGACCTTGCCTCCATTCAATATGGTAGAGATGAGATTCGCTAATCGTACGCTGTCCATCTGCGCAATCGATATTATGTTTCCATTTCCCCGCACCTGCGTCGCAGCATTGAGTGTTATTTCTGGGGTCTCGTCGTCTTCTTTGTCAAGGCCATCTTCTGCATCATATGAACTATGCACATTTGATATCGGTGCATTGGGATCGACAACCATGTGGTAAGCTGGTGGTGCTGGCATGTCGTCTGTCTCGCCTGTTGGTCTTGATGTAGTTTGTGATTGAAGAATGGATTGAGATTTGGCGTTGTACAGCGCAAGATTGCGATATGGATCCATTTTGTATGGTTCCGTGGGTATATAAAATGTTACAACCGGTCTGTTGTTACGATATCGTGATATGTGGCGTGATCACCGTGTGAGGACTTGTGTAAGGATCATGCGATGCGGGATCGCGAACCTGGCAAGATGAGGTTTCTCCCGGGGGATCTTCGAGGCGTGACGAGATTAAGCCCCGATCTAGACAGATTCGGTATATTTTGGATATTGGATATCTCAGTCGACAGACTATACCGGTGACTTGGCGAAGGTAATGTTGAGATGCCCGGAGCAAGTAGGTAAGAGGCAAACTTCTTCTGGAGATTAATATTGAGCAGATTTACAACTTGAAAGCACAACTCACATCAATTCATCTGTGCGCAGGAGATAGCTAGTAATAAGTCTTGGTTCACAGCCTTGAAAACAGCCTTAGGAGTTGATAGTAGGAAGGGTCTCGAGTATCGCTATATATACCATATCATCAACTATCTCTAAGCGTTGGCAGCCTACCATGCTATTGACAATTACTGAAACGCACATACAATAGCAAGCCAGCGACCCATGCGACCCACCCCAAACACTACTTACCAGTGTCACATACTTCCTATTGTAACCCTCGTTCGCTCAATACTGCGCGCTAACCACACCAAGCCATGGCTCACCGTTGTTGACCACTCTTAATACAGACCAGCCACCCTATTATCAAGCTCTTGGCCAGTAACATTAGCTGTACAAATTACGAAGTTGAGCTTGCCGTAATTACTGCAAGGCAGCAAGCTGCCGATTTTGAAGTACAATAAAAACCAGCAAAGAATCAGCACACCACATTCCCCACCTCTCCGCTGAACCAGCCAGCCGGCAAGTCACTACGGTGCCAAACGTTCCAGTCATCGGTCGTCACACAGTGATTAGCGTATGTTGTGCGCTCTTATGCTTTCGGCTCACAATAGCAAGGTTCTGGCAGGGCACAATAGGAGCATGGTTGCGCAAACCTACATGGTAGGTAAACACGATTTAGCCGCATGATGATGCAAAACTTTTTTGTTCACAATAAGAACGTCTAGTATGCGCATAATCTCAGTCAACATAGCCGCGATATTATTGAGTGTAATGTACTGCGTTGATAATTTCATATTGTGAGGTCCTAGTTGTATGGTATCTGGCTGAGATGTGTGCACTACTCGTTCAAGGAGCACTGGAGAATTGGCTTCGATACACTGGTCAGGGGGTCATAATGCGAGAACGCTTCATTTTGATATAGTTTATGCACTGCGATATTCTCATCGGGTGTGCGGAACTATGAATAGTCAAAGTTTGCGAGAGAAATCTGGGTTCTGAACAAAGGTGCCGGGTCTATTGGTGCAAAAAGTTACATGAGACAAAGAATACGAGGAATTCACATGAACCTCCTGCCGGAAGTTGCTTTCAGGAAAGACATTAGGCTACAACACTGACTCTTTCAAACCGCTATCTAGACTCAGGCCTAGGCTGAGGGTAAGAAGATACTGTCGATCTTTACTATCATCGTTGCTATTGTGTTTGATGCTCGGTTGAAGCAATTGATTTCCATACCTCGACTGTAAATTGTAGTCCAGCCCGGTTCTATGATATTCATACAGACACGCAGGAGATAGATCTGAACACTACACCCAGCCCTTCACCAATCGCTGAACCTATCGAATTACCTCCTTTAATACCACAATAAGACGATTGAGTGTTGTACATCGTATGTCTACTTGGATAAAACACAACCGCAAACGCCACGCTTAGAAATGCTACAATACATTAGAAACATCGGATCGGGCCCATTCAACCTAATAGAACTATGGATGACATGGGTTCAGAGAACCTAGAAGAGCTGATTGGCTGAGGTTAGATTAGCTAACGTGCCTCATCACCGTTGAGTTCTGTACACTTGAGCTTCATGATATGGTCGCTCATGGTAGAATAGATTCTCGGACCAGGGCGGTAGCTTCTTGTTACGCTCGTAAAGATAACCGCAGTTGTTGCAAAGGGTGCGTGGTCCGCGTGGTCCGTCTCTAACTGCCCAGACCGCTGTGCCCCATACGAAGCAGTGGGCGCATCGCCACGTCTGTCGCTCTCTGCAATTATATTAGACTTGGCCAAGAAGCATTTGAATGAAACTCACCCTTCCTGAAGTCCACCTTCCTGTCCACCATAACCTGATCCCGCTCCAGGAGTGTCTCGGCCGACTGGACTTAAGCTTCTGAACCTCCTCTTCTTCTTGCTTCTTTCGCCCCTACCCATGTTCTCTTGCTGTTCGATGTTGTTGAAGAACTCGTTCTGCGGTGTGCCTGTCATATTGGCTGTTGAAGAGAAACGTGCAGTCTCTCGTCTCAGTCGCCTAATCTGTCTCTCACGATCGCCTTCGCGTTTCTCGATCTCTTCTTTGGAAAGCATCTCGATTTTAGGCTCCCATTCATCGCATAGATGTTCATGATCGTACCTCCAACCTGCACCAATAGTAGGCTCAACAGCATCATTATCGATTTCTCCATCACCTACTAACCCACCATTCTCGCAAGCTTCCTTCTTCAACCGTAACACAGCTTCGTAGATTGCATGCGTCATAGTTGCCACCCACTCACCAGCCAAACCAAGGTCGGCACAAGTAACTTTTGCAAACATCTCAGCGAATCCGGGGGGGTGTAGTAATGACCACTCAAATTTATCGGTGTACAATCGGTTCATCAAGTTGATATTCAGAGTGACGATGCAGCGGTAAGTATCGTCTGGGTTGTGCAGCTCCTCAGAAGGCAGTGCGGTCGCTGTTACACTGATGCCGTTCGGTATCACTGCCGGCGTTCGCGCACCATCGGTTCGTGCTATGCCATTTGCAATAGGGGTAGAGGCACCGTTGGTGGTGGGAACTGCAGGTGTCGAGGTACCGTCCTGGGACGCTACTGGCTGAGCTGGTTGTCCCGCGGTGACCTGAAGGGTGGGCACCCCAGTAGAATGGAAGAGAGGGTGCAGCGCTACACCAGCATATTCCTCGAGTTGCTGTCGGATCTGGCTCGCAATGTTCAGGATGAGCTGCGGTTTACGTTCATTAGGGAGATCTAGCTCATCCACAAATTGCTTCGCAAATTGATCTGGTGTTGTCAGGGCTTCGTGCAAGTTCCATAGAAATGAATCCTTGAGCCTGTATGCGGGCGTGACATCTGGCTGCTTGTACGCCGGCAGTTGCTCATTGATGCCGAACTCTCGAGCGTTGGATGGCGTTGGTAGCGGCGCATCTGGTCGGAAGGGCTGAATATCCATGTCTATCCGGATGGGAATCAAGGTGACTGGAAGCACCGACTGAGTTTGTACTTGCTTCTCGGTTCTGTGTATGATTAGCTTCCTCCTACTACCTTTCAAGAGCTCATCTTTATTTGAGTCACAACACTCACAGTGTGCGCTTCGGCCTGCCCATCCAATCTCGCCAAATGCCCTGCAAATCTATGGGCATGGTAAGTTCTTCTCCCAAAGCAGCTATCTGCGCAGTCTTGTCCAAGCTCGACGCTTCATCGCCCCGCTGAATGCTCCGTAAACCCGTAGCGCGCCGCGGGCGGTCGCTGTCTTCAAAGTCATCGTCATCATAAGCATCTTCTGCATAGCTAAGAACGGCGGTTCCACGCTTCGTCACGCGCGGCGCAGGGAGTGTATTCGAGGCCGGTACGATTGGCGAAATGAGCGAGTTTCCGTGGTTACGTAGTCGCGGCGCATATGTGGACATAAATGCCTGGGGCGGCGCCGTCCTTCCTTTGGCCGTAAACATGATTATTGAGGTGTGCGACAGACCGTGGGAAGATTGGGTAGCTCCAAGACGTCGCGAGACTGGACGCGTCGCGGTGCTGTTGATCAGGGTTGAACGGCAGTGCAAGGGTAAAGAGGCTCGGAGAATGGCAAGATTGGTCAATTACTGACAGAAGTATCACTGTCCCTAATTGCGCTCTCCGGAACTCATGAAAGTTGTTTCGCGTCCCTGGCATTGAATGCACTGACTTTCACGCTCAGCGCCAGCTAACTTTCGCCAAGCCAGCATAGTGGTTTGGGTTAGCGCCGTTTTTCCTGCATTTGCACGTGACGGTCACTATCATGTTCAAGCGCCTAGATGTGTAAGGTATTCAAGGAAAGCTGTGTAGGCTTAGAAAAAAAGAGAACATTTCTATTGAGCTTGCCATCTGAATATAGATTTGGAAAAAGTGCCAAAAAGAATTCCTGGAGTATCTGACTGAAGCCAGACGAATGCTGATGAGAGTGGGACCTTTCGGGATATGTTAGTTTTGACTACAATTGCTGTGCAAGTGTGGTAACATACTCGAACCCACGCCACTTTCGTGACCAGGAGAATGTGCTAAGGAGAACCTTAACCTGGCGCCATAACCAACTCGGCCATCTCACCGTGAGGATTGATAGGGGATTTTTCAGGTTGTGCCATCTATAACGAGCGAAAATATGTGCTAGGAGAAAGGCGATAGCGGGGCAAGCTTTCCGCTTCTCGTTACCACTATCTGCATATACTTGTCTCACTAAGCACGGCTAAGATGAATAGCCTTGCAGCAATAAAACTCTATACGTCTAAGTTGATTCATCAATCAACACCACCTCCTCAAGTTATTCTCTCTAGGTACATTGTCTCAAATTTGTTTATTCGCCTGAGACCATTTTACACATGTTTGATAAGGTTAACTAGGAACATTTGTGCTAGTACCGGCGGTTGTAAATAGTTTCATTCGAGCATTAATTGATCAAATTATATCATAGTTACCAAATATTAGTGATACTTCGCTCATTTTCTTCCGGCCAGCTCTAACCACCGTATCCTGCTGCTTCCTTTTATGACTGTGCTATTTGTTTTAACACCCGGTCACGACTTGGCATTCAGCCTCCTTGTTGGGGAGTCCGAATACGACTATATGCTGTGCATGATCAAAACAACACTATATTTTTAAGTGTGAGAGCCTTTCCACCATGAAAATCATTATCGATTACTAATTAATTGTTAACTTTCCGGAGAACCTCCAACTAGAAGGTATTACAGTCCGCAAATTTTATGCCTCGGAAAAGGCGGCAAGGTGGGTTTATATCTTCCACTGAATCCCGAGGGACCGAGGCCATATAACCTTGGAATGTTGAAATCCTCGACTGATATTGGGTCCTCCCAAAAATGAGATCCAAAACCAAATATATTGGAGAGCTGTATCATAATAATTCATGGCATGTAGCTTCAAGGCATTGCGGACCCGAGGCACCGCCGCCCAACTACCAAATACATCAAGTACAAGTTCCCAGCTACCTAACTACCCCTTATTTACAGCACTTGCCTCTTTTGATATTCAACTACTGGTAATTATTGATTAAAAAAAATGAGATCAAACGAAAATAGTTGATGGCGACATCTGCTCCTCGTCTATGGATGGGAGATGTCGATCACATGCTGTTGATGACGTGTATCAGAATTAATCTAGGTCACTGGGGCGTGTTTTGGCAACCAGAACCAAGGATATAATTTGTAGTTTTGCTACCAGATTTAACGACTGAATGCCGTAACAAAGTAGAATTATTCGTCGAGGAGTCTAATGTATAAATGCGATGAAAATTGTTATCTAAATCGCCCTATTCTTCTTTTATCCGTACATAGAACGCCCGTCATATCATTATTTCTGATAAAATTGCTCGCACTACAGCAAGTACAATCGGTACACTCAGGCACTCGTAGTGTCGCATCGCTTCTTACGATGACATATCCAAGACCATCAATCCCCTCTATGACTCACAAAGCCTGAGCCTAGACAAACTACAAGAACAGCACAAAATATGTATCAGTGCTTCGGGTGATAGCTACAAAATTCCAGCGCCATGCGCATACAAGCCGAAGACTGACCTTCCACAAATACAATTTACTGGCTTGAAGTTGATGGCCTTTCCTAACTTCATGTCTGCACCCCTGTAGTATGACTACTCGGCTGTTTTAAAATAGCAGCTCAATCTCACTCGCTGGCGTAGACATCCCAATACTCAGTGTCGAGGACTCTGACACACTAGGCAAGAAACTCGAGCCCCGTGAGTAAGTTGGCGCAAGCGAGTTTGACGATGGTAGAGCTCTTGAAAGCGCAAAAATTGACTCATAATCTGGCGCAAACTCCTTTGATGGTTCCCGAGGCGCGTATAGAGGCAGTGGGTCTATGTCTTCATCCTCGAGTGTTGGAGGTAGTATGTTGCGTCGAACGCGAGGTACAATCTCGAGCGGAGTGCTGGAGCGGACCATAAAGTGCTGATTTCCGTACTTGATGCCGACGGAGATGCCTAGAGCGTATCGTCGGGTAATTGTGTAGGTTTTGAATGTTGGTACGCACTCTATGTCGTCGATGAGGCGGAAGCTGTAAGTCAGATCCACTGTTGAGTTGAATGAAACTGATTGATTCATGTTGGATTTTGCTATGCAAGTAACATGCTTCGAGACAACATCTTCGGGCTGTGTGACGCTGTGCCCGCACATGGTTGTGGAATATGTCGAGATGGAGATGGACAGAGAGTCGATGATGCAACCCTCTTGTGATTCATTTATTGCATCTCGTGCATTGTGTAGGGAGATTGCTATTGGAATATGCTGCCCTGGTGCTATCCTTTCGGGGTACAACATGCTTGGGATTATTCGAGGTGAATTGCTTGAGGGACGCAGAACTTTGCTCAACACTTTAGTGACTACTTTTTGAGCATCGTATCCCACACCCTTGGAGGGTTTCCAGGTTTGACCGTATAATACCACCGAGGTACATCTCGCGTCACGAGGTTGGTCAACCCCGGGTGTTGGGTGGTAAGGTAACACAATTCTACACCTCTTTACCTCTCTTGATCCAGCAACAGTCAATCTCGCCTGCACGAAGTATGAAATTTGGGCTGCGCCACCTGGTACGTTTGTTTTCAGTTGGAATGTCGGTGGCAGAGGGTGCGGCTCTTTTAAGTAATTGGCACCGTGGGCGAGCCGTTTGTAGCGAGGTTCTGTCGATTCGGGAAATATAAACTCGAACGTCCAGGTATATTTTTTGGGAGTGAGGAAAGTTTCTGGTATAACAATTTTCTCTTGGTTGAACAAGCGGATCTTCTCTTCAAATTCACGTCTCGATGGTAAGTTTTCACCCCCGTTGACATGGAACGGTCTCGACGTCTTCGTTATGCAGTTGCCAGCGAACACAATCTTGAGTGACTCGATCTTTTGCTCCTCTTCTACAGCAAGGATAACTCTTCCCGTGACCTTTTCTCCTCTCTTATATACCTTATCACTATCACCATCAACAATGACCCGCACAGCTGGCACTGCCATATTGTGTGAAGCTTTTGGAGATGTGCGAAAGAGTCCATGTAGGGACTCAGCTAGGTTATAATGCATATCGAAGCCGTCTACGATTCGTCCATGTGCCAGGCACGCGGGTCAGCCATGCGGTTCGGATTTGGGGGAGCGTTTCCCGGGGCTGTAGGCTTGCCAAGCAATGTGGGAGCTCTTAGGTATGCAGTGACGATAGTGATTGCTAACGATAAGGGAAAGTGTTGCGTTGAAAACGGGCCCAGTCTAGGGATTTTTATTTCATATACCTATCTTTGTTTCAATAACGACCCGAGACACACGTTGGCAAGCAAGCATTAGGGATGTTGATGCCTCACGTTGTGCTTGAACAACTTATTTGGTATCCAGTCTCCCGTAAGGATGATCGTGGAGACCAAACCCAGTATTCATGCGGCTGACGTTTCGAGATACAGAAGCGAGACCATCATCTACCGAGCCGTTCAGCTCGCCTTTGACATACCACAGGTGGAAGAGATGGCGCACTTTCTTCTTTCGTATCCATTCTGCCGAGAGTCTTGAAGAGCAGAATGCAGCCAAGGGGGCGCAGTGTTCTTGGCCTGTAGTCTAGATCAGCCACGTTCATACTACAGTGCCCCGCTATATCTGTGCGGGCTGATGCTAACCAGCGCATGGGTTTGCACATCGTCAAAAGACCCCTAGAATGCCATAGTCCCGAAAACTAGACATTGGTTTGGCCAAGCTTTTATGCCTACATTGATAGCGCAAGGAGGATCAAACTATTGAACATTTGAGGTAACCTGGGTGCGGGGAACAAGCGTGGTTTATCCCAGCCGAGCCATGCACAGTAAGGAAAGGTGTCTAAGCGACGAGTGACTGTGAGTCTGATTGTACTTGGGAGCATCTTGGCAACTGAATCAGGCACCCGATGCGGTCCGATTCTCCAGAAAAGGATCCGGGGAAATGGTGGTGTGGCCATTAAGTTCATCAATTGTTACACCTTGAGTTCGATGCGAGCATAACATGCTTCGGATGAGTTTGAATGACCATGGGTGCAGGTGATGAATCATGGGAAATACATGTGAGTGACAGCTTAGTCGTTAGGTATTCGAAGGCAAGGAGAATGAAGTGTACATCCACTAGTGGTGGGGAATATATGGGCCTCGGCAAGTAGTATATCGATAAGGCCCAACTGAAGATGAACGCATGCACAATGGTCTAGGGATTGAGTTAATGACTATGTATCTATAGATAGGACTCTCTGCATTGATGAAGTATCGCAACGGTTGTGATGGTGATACGGCACTCTTTGTTCCAAGATGCACTGAATCGAGGGCATTTTTCTTGCAGCCTTTTCTCGGAAAGGGAGATAATTGGGTATTCTATAAGGTAGTAAGTAGTATATGAAAAGAACATGAGTTAAGAAAAGGGCGTAGATGCTGTCTATGAGCTAGACCAGGATCTCTTCCGAAAGAGTTGTGAGATTTAGGGTTAGGTACGTGATCAGTGCGCGAGTCTGTCCTAAACGCGCTTTCACGCGTCGCACCAAGCTTGCCAAAAGTTGCTCGACTCACCATTGGTTGCTAACCCCAGGACCAAACACGGTCCTCGCTTCACAATCATCTACATGTAGATAGTACTTTTCACAGTCTTCACATTGAAAAGTACTTATTTCAAACAACCACCATAATGCCTCCTCGCAAAAACAATGCCTCTACCGGTCCAGAAGAAGACATTCCCGTCCCAAAGTCGGCATCCAAAGAGGCCAAAGACGACGCACTTGGCGTAGAAGTATGCGCACTTCCTCATACCACAGCCTGTTCTGAAGCAATCCTACTAACACGCTCAAGGATCTCAACCTCCCCAAATCCATAGTCCAGCGCCTAGCTAAAGGTGTTCTACCACCAAATACACAAATCCAAAAAGATGCGCTGCTCGCCATGTCCAAGAGCGCAACTGTCTTTGTCAGCTACATCACATCATGGTGAGTATCATATGTATAACCCTGCACCAAAATCCTTAGTACTAATGCAACTTGTAGTGCTGCCGAACACGCCGCACGCTCTGGCAAAAAAACAGTCATGCCAAAAGACGTCTTC